GGATGCATTTGTTTCATGCAAAAAACGATGTTTAAACTTTTAAAAAATTAATTAATTCCAGATGCGTGCCTGGAATCCCAGCACTTGGAGGCTGAGGCATGAGAACTGACACGAGTTTGAGGCCGTCCTGGGCTAGTGATTCCCTCTCAAAAACAAAAACAAAATAATCCCCCTCCCCCCCAAAAAAAACACAAAAAACTGAAGAACAGACAAAGCCAAAAATAGGGCTTTTGACAAAGTTTTGAATATAGAGAGCTCACATTTCCTCTATTTTTTTTAAAGACTTCATCATGTACCTTCTAGAATGTTCCATGCCAGGAGTTACTTTATTTCTTTGGAGCTCAAGAAAAAAACTTCCAAGGTGTGGTGGCCCACACCTATAATCCCAGCACTTGGGAGGCTGAGGAGGAAGCTCAGTGTGGGCTCAACTGGAGCCCAGTTTGGGCTACAAAGTGAGCTCAAGGCCAGTCCGAACTGCATAGCAAGACCTTGCCTCAAAAAACAAACAAACAAAATCTTTCAGAAACCCCAGCGTTGACCATCCTTGTATCAACACCAACAAGCACTTGCTGAAGGCCCTCAACCAGCACCAGAGGGCGGGAAGGAAGGACCAGCTGAGCCCCACTGCCCCGAACCTCAGTTTGAGCACTTCAACACAGTGGAGGGAAACCCTCCAACAACAGGAACAGAAGGGATGACTGTGGAGACCCGTGTGCTGAGTGCTGCACCTGGCCTGACTTTGCACGGTAAGGCTGAGGTCTTCTACCTGCACACTAATAGTATATGTTCACATCTCTTTTTCCTGGGGGGGTCTTGAGACAAGGACCCCCTTTGCTGTTTAGGCTGGCCTTGAACTCACTATGTAACCCAGACTGGCCTCAGACTCCTGTTGACCCTCCTGCCTCAGCCTCCCAAGTGCTGGGATGACAGATGAGCCCCACCGTGCTCCACAGCCTTTGATCTGTGTCTGTGCCCCTTTTGTGTGGTCAAGTGCTTGTTGGTGTTGATACAAGGATGGTCAACCCAACCGATGGGTTTCTTCTTCCTTTTAATTAACTTATGAGATACCACTGCTGCTTTAAGTACCAAGCAGGCTTCAATCCATTCCACCCTGATAGGCACAGGAAGAGGCGGGGCTGTTGCTCTTTCCCGCTTCACTAATGAAGAAATAGACCCTGCGCCTTGAGGCAACCTCCCACAAGCACCTCCGCTGGGCAGGGCAGCAGGGCCAGGCTCACACCTGGGATAATACCCTATGCCGAACCACTCTGAGAGCCCTTACCCCAGCGTGGATCCAGAAGGCCAGACCCTCATTCAGCGCCCACCCAGAACTGCGTTGCTTTGCTTGCGGACTTGGGACATTGCTTGTCAAAGTGACACACAAGCCAGGCACAGCAGTGCATGGCTGTAATATCAGCAGCACTCTTAGCAGCTGAGGCAGGACAGTGGCAGCCAGTTAGGGAGATTCTGTCTCCGACATAACAGTAAGAAAGAGCTGGGGATGCAGCGCAGTACGCAGCTGCTGGGTGCACTATGGGGAGCGGAAGTGGCTGCAGCGCTGTGTCTTAACCCCTCACTCCTGCGCCTGCCTCCCGGCCAGGCACAGTCAGCATCAGTCGGTGCTTCACAAAGGGAAGAAAGAGGCATGGGGGAGGGACTGCCAGCCAGGGCTCATGTCGCGGCCCGGTTCCTCTCGCTCTTGCTTCCAGACAGCAGCTGGATGTGGGCTGCAAGAAGCCTTGGAGGAGGAGCAGTGGCGTGACTGCACGGGGTGAAGAGATGTGTCCACCTCTTGCTTGAGGTGGAAATCACAGAGCAGCTTCACATGTGGCCCACGGGGACAGCATTCCCATCGCTCCCTTGCGCAGCCCCCTTCCCAGCTAGCCAGCCTCTGGTCACACCTAAGGTTGGAAATCATTTTATTTCACTTATCTTACTTTTTCCCTGTGCTGGGACCTGAACATGGGGCCTTGTGCATGCCAGGCAAACTCTCTACTCCTGAGTGCCACCCCAGCCATTGCATTTAATCTCTGCAAAAGAGGAGTTTCTTTCCTCTTCCTTTCTTGAGGATTTTCTTATAAATATTTTATTGTTAATTATCATATCAAAAAAGTTTTGGGTTTTTTTTTATTTTTTTTTATTTAGTACAGAGTCTATAGGATCTCACTACACCAATCAGACTCGTAGTGATTCTCCTGTTTTCAGCCTCCCAAGTGTTGGGATTATGGGCATGCCTCACCATGCCCAGTCTCAATTGTGGGGCTGGTATACCGTGCTGAGGATCAAACTCCTGTTTCTGCATCTGCCTAAGCAGGCACTTTAATCCACTGAGCTATCTGGTCAGCCCTCAAAGACAGTTTTGAGACAAGTTCTCACTGTGTAGCCCAGGCTGGCCTGGAGCTCCTGGAGAGCCTCCTACCTTAGCCTCCTGTGTGTTGGGATTACAGGTGTGCATCACCATGCCCAGGAGATGCAGGGTGGCTTCTTGTCTTTTGCACTTTGGTTGAGCCTGGGCCTGGGCTGCTGGACAAGCGCTGTCCCTGGGAGCGGCGCCCCACAAGGCCCTTCTGCAATCCACCTTATTGGGGAACTTCAGAGTGACTGAGACGCCAGACAGTGACGTGTCATCCAGGAAGATAAACAGCGATGAGAGCTCCCACTTGTCACCACCGGCCTCACCCTTTTATGGGTGTCTGTGAGAGAGGGTGGAGGAGCAGAGACAGGCAGGCCTGGGCTTCGTTGTCCTGAACACCTGTAGCCCAGGCCATGCACAGGTGATGGGGCACGGCTGATGGTAGCACTCAGCAAAGATGAAGGGGTGCGGTAACTTAGTTTATTTTAGGGTTTTTTTTTTTGTTTGTTTGTTTGTTTTTTTGCCAGAGTCTCACTATGTAGTCCAGGCTGGCCTTGAATTCACTATGTAGCCCAGCTTGGCCTCAGATTCACAACTGTCTCAGTCTCCCCCACCAGTGGGCATTTGACATTGACCTCAGTGCTGGATGCAGGCGCTGCATGAGCACCCAACACAGGTGCCGCTGGTCCAAGATGGGAGTCAGTGACTGGGCCGCCCAAGAAATCTCCACAGCAAGGCAGAGGGAGGGAGGGCAGGTTTGTGTGTGACAGAGCAGTTGGCAAAATGCTGCCCGCAGTAAGGTGGAATAGAAAATGTCCCTGAGGCACACACCTGTGATCCTAGCACTCAGGAGGCAGAAGCAGGAGGATCTCTAAGTGGAGGGCAGGATTGCTCAGTGTGTAAACGACATTTAGAAGGACCAAAGAACCCCAGGATGTGCTCAATCATAAAACAATTTTCATCCCTAGCTTTCTAGTTAGCACAGTGTTCTTGGAGGAGTTCAAGGACGAAGCAAAGGGGTGGTGTGCTTCACAACACAACCCAGGGACTTGTGTTGTTGGAATGGGACAGTGTCCCTTTCATGTGGAAACTGGCTCCAGGATGGGTCCTGGGGGACAGCAAGCAGGCATGAGAGCCACTGGACACACACCTTGGAGAAGACAATGTTGAGATGAGGGCCAGGGCCACCGCCGGAAGTTGGGGGACCAGATGGGGACACACACACACACACACTGCCCACCAGTCTAAGGCAAAGTTGCTGCACTCAGGAAAGGCCTGAAAATATCTCCAGCAGCCTACAGGGCCTCCATAGCCAGCGACGCCATGATCTTCCCCAAACTGAACAGCAAATGGGAAATCGCTGATTCTGTGCTAGCCATCCCAGAGAGGCCTCTGTGGTGTTTGTCTGAGCCTCTGTCACTGGGGTATATGCAGGGGCAGAACTGTGAGGGTTCCTGGAAGTTAGAAACACAAGGTCTTTATTCCTACTGTAGTGCTTTTTTTTTTTTTTTTTTTTTTTGACATGGTCTTACTATGTAATCAACCTGACTTTGAACCTTGAACTCACTAGGTAGAGTTTCTTGCTGTGGAGATTTCTTGGGGTGATCTCCTGCCTCAGCCCCCCAAGTGCTAGGATGTCAGGTGTACACCACACCCTGCTCTAAATTAGAGGTGAAGCTTTTGAAGCAACTTTCAGAAGATGCTGTAGCTGGCAAAACTTGGGAAGTTACCCAGATTAGGGAGCTGAGCGTCTAGAGAAAAGAAACTAAGCTGAAGGATTTTCTATATTCTAGCCAAAAGTCTCCTCATAGTGTCACCCATCTGGCTCTGCCTCAACTGGGAAACTCTGCGAAGCCACACCGCAAGTGATGTGCACTGGGTATGGGAAATCGCTGATTCTGTGCTGGCCATCCCTGAAAGCCCACCTCTGGGCAGAGGGAGAACACAGATGTGTCCTGTGCCTGTTCCAACTCCCCACAAAGAAAGCCAGCATTATGGACCACAAACGTGCACTTGTGAAAATAGCACACCCCTTTAATCCCAGCCCTTGGGAGGCAGAGGCAGGAGGATTGCCATGCTTTTGAGGCCAGCCTGGGCTACATTGAATGCAAGCCCAGCCTGGAATACAAGCAAGACTCTGTTGCACAAAACAAATGTACAAAGAATTAAATAATGCAATGAGACACATTAATATGCACACACACATTTCAAGCTGTTCTCCCTCCTTCCGCCTCCCCCCATTCCCCCCAAGGACGAGTGGAGGCCCAGTGCAGGCTGAGCAGTGGGGGCAGGTGGAGTGGGAAGCCAAGCTCTGGGGAGATGCAGCCTCTCAGCCCCAACTTCCCGCACTGCCTCCTAGTGTCCTCATGTCCCAGGAGCCCCAGCCCCCCGGGCAGCCTCAGCAGGGCAGATCCCTGGCTGCTGAGGGTCTGGGATGTCCCTGGGGTGTGGCTGCCTCCCAACACATCCAGATAGCGAGCAGGACTGAGTTCAAAGGGAGGATTTCAGTATTTACAGAACCCAAGCTGTGGGTGGCCGGCCTCACGCACATCTGACAGAGGCCAGGGGAGCGAGGGGCTGCCTGCCTAATCCAGGGCTGCCAGCACCCGTTTGCAAGAGACACGGGGTTTTGAGGAAAATCCCAAACATATTTTCCAAGGGGTCTGGTTCACTTTTCTTAAGTTCCACGAAACCTACCATGAATGCCACATAGATTTGAGACTACCTTTCTGAGGCTTCAAATAAGTCAGAAACCATTCTACAATGGCTACAAAGGCCTTTTAATAAAGGTTTTGATCTTTAGAGTTATTTTAGTCTACTTAAAAAAAAAAATCCAATGTGTCTTCCAAATGAATGAAAAAGAAGTGTCAGATACTAAAAGAGAGCTGAAAGAGTAAGATACTAAGGCCGGCAGCTTTATTTTCCAGCACGGCAAAGTTTTTTTTGCGGGGGTGAGAGGAAGTAGTGTGGGGGACAGGTCTCACTACGTAGCCCGGGTTGGCCTCAAACTCAGCGATCCTCCTGCCTCAGCCACCAGAGTGCTAGGATGGCAGGCCCACCACAGCGTGCCCAGCAGCAAAGTTCACACGCACTGGAATTTCATGCAACTTCTCCAAGTATCCAGAAAACGCTGCAAGCAAAATATGAAACACCCACAACCCCAAGCAGAGCCTGCGTGTCCTCTCGGTCACCACCACCCTGAGCCCCATCTTGGCTGCCCTGTAACAGAACAAAGAGTGGGGGTCAGGGTTTGGAAGAAGCGATCCCTGGCTCCCCCTGGCCCTGCCCAGGTGAGCCAGGGCGTGGCACCTCAGGTCCTCTTTCCCACATGGAAAGAATTAGGTCCAAGGTCACTGCCTGGGGAAAGGAGGGGGCAGCTGTGGACAGGCAGGGCACCCAGCACCCTGCCACTCTCCAGCGAAGTCTGCAGGCCTCCCTTGTCGCCCGGCTTCCGGATGGCAAGGTGTTGCGACTTCAGGACAGCCTATTAACTGCAAAGGACCCAAGGAGGGGAGGGCCCTGCTGCTCCTCTGTGGGGCTTTCAAGTGTGCCCGTGTCATGTGAAACACATGTTCCATGTAACCTTCCCGGGGCCTTGATTAAAGATGCTATGTAATTCAATATAACCAGGCTGAAGGAATGAGGGGATGTTTGGTCCCTGAGGAAATCCACAGACAAGGGGCTCTCAGGACGCGAGGTCTCCCCTGTAGGGATTCGCTCCTGGCCCTGGTGTGGGCCTTTTATAAGCCGCCCCTCATCCGCCTTCCTGGGGCCCAGCACCATGTGGGAGATGGCGCCAGGGGACAGCTTGCCCGCAGGTTTGTGATGCCGCAGAGGCAGAGAGCAAGTTACTTCCGTGACTCGTCTTTCTCATCTTGAAAATGGGCCAGCAAGATCAGCTACATTCTAGCTGACAAAGGTCAGAGTAACTTCCAGGCGAGTCCCAGCTGTCACCCGGCAGGTGACACAGACACCAGAGGTGGGGGGGGTGTGCGGGGAGGCGCAGAGGCGCAGACGCCATGTGCTGACCCGCGGCTCTGCTCTACGTGCCTGGCTAGCATTGTCTCAGCTTTCACTATTTACACGCACGTCCGGGGCCCTATGAAGATGGCATTTTCTGAGAGAAAGACCTGGTCCTGCTGCTACCGCCTCTCCTGTGTGACCAGAGTGTCCCATCGAGGGCCGACATTTAATGAGATCCTACCAGTGGCCCAAAGGCTGATCTTCCCTGTGCGATAAAAGCTTTGTGCTGAAAAGCCTCTTCCTCCACACACTCTGTGGCCCTTTAAGTCTGATCAAATCAAGGGATAAAATAAAATTTAAAAAAAAAAGGAAAATCTGGTCATGGTGGCACATTCATGGAATCCTTGTACTCGGGAGGCTGAGGCAGGCGGATCACTCTACCTCTGAAGCCAGCCTGGGCTACCTAGTGAGTTCAAGACCAGAATGGGCTACATAGTGAGACTCTGTCTCAAAAAAAAAAAAAAAAACAGAGAGAGAGAGAGAGAGAGAGAGAGAGAGAGAGAGAGAGAGAGAGAGAGACATCCCTGGTCTCCAGGAAAACACCCTCGTCTCACTTGTGGAGGGACTCTCCCTGCCTCAGCCTCTCCCTTGGGCCCCTCTCAGGGCTCCTCTCCGTCCCCGCTCAGCCCTCCCCCCAGCAAAGACACCGACAGTTTCTTCCCTCGCCTTGCGCTGTCTCCTGTGGGTGAACTTTTTTAATTTATGGTTCTCAGCCAGCAGGTTGTTAGCCTGCTATGTTTGGAAATGGTAGATGATTAAACTCCCAGCCAGGTGTAAATGCAACCTTTGTCATCTGGAAGCTGGGAGAAGGCCTGGCAGGGCTGTCGCCTCCGTCCCTCAGCCCAGCCTTAGTGTCCCCACAAACAGGACACACAAACCCTGACAGACTCTAAAACCCAGGGCCAGGAACAAGAAATCAAGTCGGTCTGTCTGCCACTCTCCTCTACCCAGGTAAATAATAAAAACACGTAATGATTGGTGAGGCCTTCAGGCCCGAAGGGAAGGCGCCTTCGCCTTTGTGGCGAGCGTATGTTCCTGCCAGCGGCTTGCTTTGCCGCAGTAGTTCCAAGTAGCCCATAGAGGCTACTGTCTGCTTGGTGGAGTTCTAGGTTCAGCCCAAGGGCTACACAGCCAGGTGGAGGTCAGATCAGCCACAAAGCAGGGCTTTAGGTGCTTTTTATTTATTTATTGTTGTTTTTTTGTTTTGTTTTTGTTTTTGTTTTGTTTGTTTGTTTTTGAGACAGGCTCTTGCTAGTTTGCCCAGGCTGGCCTGGACCTTAGCAGCGACCCTCCTGCCTCAGCCTCCAGTTTCTGTGTTACCACACCCAGCTGAGGGGCCTCCAGGAGGGTCTGTGTCTGCAGGACAGAATGCGGTCCCACTCCAGGGCCTGGGAAATCCCTGGAGGGAAGGCCCAGCTACCCCCCAGGCTGAGCAAACAGAACCCCTGTGTCCCCCGCCCGCTCCCAGGCCTGGGCTGGCACTGCCTGAGGTGGCCAGACCTGTTCCCCGTGGCTTTCGATTATCAAAGTCCTCCCGATTGCCAAAGTCCTCCCTGGTGCTGGGTGGCTCTTCTGGAATTCCATGCATCGGGAACAGGGACATAAAAGTCTCTCCCAGCGCTCCTGTGGGCTGTAAATTAATGTTTGTGGAAGATGGAATGACTAAGTCCATAAATCAGCGTCATCGCCATCACAGGGGTCAGCTCCGGGTGACCTGGGCTGAGATCTCCCCCAAGGAGCAGCCACAACCCAAGGGCCAAAGCTGACCAGCCGTGAGGTCACTTGCACACAGCTGGGCTGAAGTACTGTTTGGAAATCCATTCAGGCTTACTGCTATAAACAGCATGGAGACCCAGAAAGAGAATGGGGGTGGGGACACACACACGCAGGCACACGCAGGCACACTCAGGCACACACGCACACACGGGGAGGGGGAGAAGGAGACAGAAAGATGCTGCAGCTCTGTCCCCTCTTGCTCTTTGAGGCTTCAGCGAGCGGTCACGAGGCCCTGTGAATCTTGCACAGGCCTTGGACCACAGCAAGCAGATTGTGCCCAATGCCAGGCCGGTGTCCCCCACCAGTGTCATCAGCGGCAGGGACATGCAGTATACAAGCAGAGGAGTCTTCCATGACAGGAGAGGCTTCTTAACAGGACTGGGGACACAGATAAAGAAGAGACCATAAAGGATGACCTCAGCACAGGGCGGAGGGAAGAGACACAGCGATTGTTGGAGGATGCAGGAGGAGCAGGTGCTGTGACCCCTCAGCACCCTCGGGACCAGGCCAGGAGGCTGTGGAGCTGTTGCTACATAATGCCATGGGATTGGGTGTGGTCTACGCGCATGCTCCTGAGGTTTGTATCATCTCTAGATTATGTAGAATACCACCCAGGACAGAAGTGCTAGCTTGGGCCAGCCATATAGTTCAGTGGACTAAAGCACCTGCTTAGGCAGAGCACAGCGGCCGGGGTTTGATCCATTGGCCTGCTGTGCTGGCCCCGCCCCCCAGGGCACACTGAGACCGTGATTAAGGCTGGGCGTGGTGGTGCCTGCCTGTAATCTCATCACCTGGGGGGCTGAAAACGGGATAATCACTATGAGTCCGATCTACATAGTGAGACCCTGTAGACCCTGTACCAAAAATACAAAAAAAAAAAAAAAAAAAAAAAAAAAAAAAAAAGAAGTGCTAGCTTGTAAAGTATACTGTTTAGTGTAAGAAGAAATAAAAGGGGGCCGGGGAGATGGCTCAGTAGAATAAGCGCTTGTCTGGCAAATGGAAGGGCCTGAGTTCAATCCCCGGTTCTGAAAAAAAAAAAAGAAGAAGAAGAAGAAGAAATAAAAGACTAGATATACTCAGTACAGAGGCAATTTTCCCCAATTTTTCTGTGGTGTTGTTTTGAGACAGGGTCTCCCTGTGCAGTTCAGGTTGGCCTTGAGCTCACCACGTAGCCCAGGCTGGCTTGGCTCCTCCTGCCTTGGCCTCCCGAGTGCTGTTCTTGAGGACAAGGTCTCTAAGAGACAACTCAAGCGAGGATGCGGTCACCTCTGGGCTCCATGCAGCATGACTGATGTCACACTGTGACCCAGCACTGAGAGGCTGAGACAGGAGATCAAGAGTTCAAGGCCAACCTGAGCAACTTGACAACTTAGCGAGAGCCTGTCTCAAGAGAAAAACTGCAGGAGTCAGAGGCTGGAGCCCTGTGTTCATGTTCAGCCCCAGCACCCCAACAGCAGGTAAGTGCTCTTGATGTGGATATAGTGAGTCTGCCCGAAAAGTGCTCATGTAAGGAAAAGAGAAACTTGTATCAGCATTCTAAAACAAGATTTGGGACATCGTGAAATTAATCCAGGTTACCTTTGGCCCCTATAATTACAACAGGTGCTCAAAGCGCTGGCCGTCTGCTTCCAGCTGCTTACTGGTACAGTGAACGTAACAGTGTATACAATTTTTGGTGGACTCTATGCATTTGCTGACCCAAGTAAAAATATTATTAAATGGCCAGCCAGATAGCTCAGCAGACTCAAGCACCTGCTTAGGCAGGTTCAGGGACTGGGGTTCAATCCCCGTCGTGCAGTGCCAATCCTGACCCTGGGGCATACTGAGACCAGGGGTGGTGGCACATGCCTGTAATCCCAG